TGGCAGCGGGGTCGAGCGGCGCGAGGTTGGAGCCCACCTACGCGCAGCCCGTCACCCAACCATGAAGTCTGATATACAATTCATAAAAGAATAATATACAACTTGTTTCTGTGAATCATTGTCACATAGTATTGCATTAGTAAATTAGTGAAGGGATTAAAATGATAATATTGTGACTGGTATTGTGGAATTAGTCTATAAAACCTATGTAGAGAAACAATGTTGTCAGACTTGGAGAAATTTTGACGCTTCAAGGGGAAATTTTCTTATCATGACTTTAAATTATTGAGATGGCCATGTAGAACAGCAAGAACCTGACATACTCAACACCTTGTTATTATTTAGCGTTTCTACTGTCATCAATGAAACAGACATCGATTCCTCAAGAGGAACAAATGCATAGCCAAAACCTTATCTACTGAAATCGTTTGATAGTTGTCAAACATCACAGCATGCAAGCATTCAATGTATAAACAAGAGTGCTCAGAATAACTACTGGGCATCACCTGGTTCAGGCATATGAATTATGTCAGCTATGCTGGAACAATAGGATTCAGTGTCCGAAAAGGCTGGTTCGACAAAACAACAAAGCATGTCTCCAAATCAAGAGCATAGGTCTGTCAATTTGAACTCACTAAACATTTGAAATTGATTAAAGGTAGTGAAATTTGAAAACACAGATGTCTCGTGAATAAAAAACAGAAGGTCCGTCAATTGTTCCTACAAGTTTAGGAACTATAGGATACATGAATTTATTTTACCCATGCCCTGCTCTTATTAGCATCTAAACAGTCTTGATTTTGACTTGGCTACAAAGAATAGAAGCTCTTGAACAGGTTGCTAACTCAGCAAATAAATTGACCAGTATAAGAAACCTTGTGATAATCAGGGTGCAGATCTATTTACCAGAAAATCACCAAAGTAACTTGAGTTCTCAGTTTTAGATTGATGCAGTAAGACAAGCAACAAAGTTATTCTGCATGAGATAGGAGATTGATAGTTAGTGTGACATAATTGCTACTGAACACTCTTAAGAAGAGAATATAGCTGCAGGTTGAAGTGAATTTTGATCTCCTGATTTCTTTGAGAAATAGAGACGGTCATTGAAGTAAAGAGATTTCTTTTTCTTTTGAAAAATACAGAGTCATCTGCAGGCTGACTGAACTGCTGACAGGACAAATAAAAGCCCATGAGATTAAACATATACAGGAGATATGTTAAATAAATGGTTGGTGTTTGCAAGGTACGAGTAAGCTAATTGTGTGGGGAAGCTAAATTGGTACTTTGGAAAAATGCAAACATGAAGATGCCCACTATCCTGTAACTTTGATAGCACTACAGAACCAAGGGCCAAAATATAGAATTCTTTCAGCTCAGCAAGAGTAAACTCACGAATTTGCAAATGAGAAAAACAAAACACCCCCTTGTCAATAGAAAATACAGAGATTGTTCCCTGCATCATTAGGCTACTTGACCTACTTACTATTCAGTAAAGATCCTAGCATGGCAAACTTAATTGCAGTACTGCACATAGGTTTCATCAAGGTGGTCTGTCGGAAACCAGAGTCTCTAAAATGAACAAATAAGCTTGGATTGTATCTGAAAACAATATCAAGTTTTGCAAGTTGCATGGTGTGAAGTTAACAACACAAAGCAAATTAACGTCTGGGTGTGCACATGTCCGCATCAGATCTAGGTCATCGGCTTCGCACAGAAGGGAGCAGCAGGGAAGGGGTGGGCATACCTGTTGGCTTCGCACGGGAGGGGCCGCACCCTAGAGCGCGCGGCGGCCGCGTCCGCCCCGTGCTGCTGCGGGCTGGCTAGCCTGGCCGGGCGCCCCCCCGAATGGCCACTGCGAGCTGGTTGGCTGCCCGCCGCCCCTGGTTGGTAGGTTGGAGGCCGCGCACGGACCGCCTGTGTCACCAGGATGCTGCGCACGGACGCCTGCGCCGCCTCTGCCTCCGGGAAGCCTCGCCGCCTCCAGCACCGGGACGCCACGCCGCCTATGCCGCTGGGAAGGTGGCCTCACGGGGCAAGGAAGGGTGGTTTTGCGGGCGGCAGGGAAGGGCGAGCCACAGACGTGAGCGCGGGGCAGGAAAGGGCGGGCTGGGCGTGATCGGTGGACGTGATCTCACAAGCGTGAGCCATCGCACGCCAGGCAGGCCGAGGTAGCACTCGCGGTATCGCACGGGGAGAGTCAGACTCAAAATAAATGTCGCACCAAAAAATGTCCACGCTTTGTTCTTTTTTAGTTGTAGGAGACCCTGAAACGAGAGGCCACGAGCGACCACCGAATATCCCTGATTTTTTTATTTTTTAGCTTTTTTTTTGAAAAATATTCACAAATAGATCTCTGGTGGTTTGATTTTCGTTTATGGACCCTGACCTTGGCGCCATGGCTTTTGGCGCTGAGGAAACACGTCTCGGCGCCATGGACAATGGCGCAGAGGTCTTGGCGAGGCGTCGAACGTGGTGGTGACCTGGCGCCGACGTGGACAAGGCATCGGCGCCATAGATCTTGGCGCCGAACTCGGCGCCGTAGATCTTGGCGTCGAGCTATTACCCTATAGATCTTGGCGTTTGAAATGAAACAAGTATAATTGTTCCGAGAAACATGCAACAACACCATTGCGGTTCAGCTGGTTAGGACGCGCGCGACTTAGCTCAAAAGGCTGGATTCGACCCCGCGCTGAATCTTTTTTTTTTGATATATCTCAGTTGGTTGGTACAGCAGGAGGGAGACGGACTCGCTCCGATGACACATGGTGTCGTAGTCGCAGGTTAGGATAGGCGCGGCGCCGGCAGAATCGACTGCAAGATCGATCAAGGTGGCTGACCGCGCTTTCTTTGCTTTTCCGGAATCGCTCCCCTCTAAACGCCTGCGTGTTAGGGGTTTTTTGTTCTTTAGCCGCTCCTAAAATTAATATCATATTAAAGGTTTAGATACTAATAAAGAGTATTAAATATAGATTAATTACAAAACCAATTACATAGATGGAGGCTAATTTGCGAGACGATTTTTAAGCCTAATTAATCTATCATTAGCATATATTTACTGTAGCAACACGCTGTCAAATCATGAACTAATTAGGCTTGAAAGATTTGTCTCGCAAATTAGTCGTAAATTATGTAATTAATTTTATAATTAGTCTATATTTAATACTCTATATATGTGTCTAAATATTTAACGTGACAGGAATTATAGGAGCGGACTTTAAAACTGTCACGTAGACGTGGTTGCCGCAGCCCGCAAGCGCCATCCGCAGGCCCGCTCGTGCGCCCCCGCAGGCGCCATGCGCGCTGGTGAGCCCGCGCCGCCGCGCGTGCGAGCGGCACGAGTTCGGAGTGTCCCACACGCGTGTCCGTGCCAGCGAGCATGAGGAGGCACGGGACCCGAGCGTTTCGGTGTGACCACTCGAGCGAGGCCGTCCGATCACGGATCGTTGGCTGTGATCTGCCTAGAATTTATTTCGGATACGCCAGACGCATCTTTAGGCCCCGTTTAGTTCCGAAAATTTTTGATTTTTGGCTACTGTAGCACTTTTGTTTTTATTTGGCAAAAATTGTTCAATTATGGACTATTTAGGCTTAAAAGATTCGTCTCATGATTTCTCGGCTAACTGTGTAATTAGTTTTTTTTTCGTCTACATTTAGTACTCCATACATGTGCCGCAAGATTTGATATGACGGAGAATCTTAAAATTTTTTGGTTTTTGGCTTGCATCTAAACAGGGCCTTACTGGGTTGCCTTGATTTGCCAAACGGGTTGCTTCGGAGGATTTTTTGAGAAAAACAACGGATGGCAAGTGTTGCCGACCAGTGCACGAAACCGGCCATGCTGGAAATGTTAGGCTTCGGCACCCGTCGTCTGAATGTCTGATATGAACGTTTCACAACCCATCCTGTTAAGGTGTTACCTACAAGCTTTTGTCGTGATGTCCACAAGAGTGAAAATGCACAGACAATGGACCAGTACTACTCCACCAATGCAATTTTATCAAACACCAACTATTTCTTTCTCAACTTTAATTTCTCCACGGCAACTCGCCGCAGGAGCGAAAGGTTAACCTCTTCCTGAGCCTGTACGAATACTGGATGCCAGTTGACAGGGAAGTGGAGTGAAGAATCTAGCTCCCTTAAAAACTCATCAGAAATAATTTTTTTTCGTTCTATTACTTATAAAAATATAGCAAAAAAAAAAATCTAGCGCTGGGATTCAAACCCAGGCCTTCAAGCTAAGTCGCGCACGTCCTAACTAGCTGAACCGCAATAGCATTGTTACATATTCCTCGGAACAATTATACTTGTTTCATTTCAAATGCCAAGATCTATAGGGTAACAGCTCGGTGCCAAGATCTATGACGCCGAGGCCTTGTCCACGTCGACGTCAGGTCACCGCTACATCTGACGCCTCGCCAAGACCTTGGCGCCATTGGCCATGACGCCGAGACATGTTTCCTCGGCGCTAAAAGCCATGACGCCGAAGTCAGGGTCCGTAAACGAAAATCAAACCACCATGGATCTATTTGTGAATATTTTTTTTTTAAAAAGCTGAAAAATAAAAAATTCGGCAAATATCCCCATCCCTCGGAGAGAGAAGCATCAGCATGCCGGACCAGCTTGCACGTGCACGCGCCATGGAAACAAAAAAAAAAAAAGGAAAAATCGGGCACCCGAAATATCTCAATTCAACAGCGGGCGCGGCAGAAGCCCGGAGGACAACGGAGAGGCGAGGGCAGAGGATAATATCTCGGTGGTGGCGTGGTAATTGTTGTTTGGGGCCAGGGCCATTTCCACCCCACGCCTCTCCTCCGGCTTTGATTTCATCCACGACGATGATCTCGGCTCGCTCCCCGGCCCCGCCCCGTCGCCGCTGACGTGGCGCCCACCGCGCGGAAAAAATATTGCAGATATTTTCCCCACCGCTCCTTCCTTCCCCTCTTTCCCTCTCCTCGCCTCGCCGGCTCCTGCTCTGCTCCGCTCCTACCGGCAGCAATCGAATGTCTCCCGCCGCCGCCGCCGTCGTCGCAGCCTCCGCCGGAGGAGGAGGAGGAAGCGGCGGCGGAGAGGCGGGCGGTGGCGCCGGCGCCGGCGCGTCGTCGTCCCCCGCGTCCGCGGCGGGGGCGAACGGGCGGGCGCTGGTGCGGTGGGACCAGATCCTCCCGCGCCGCACCCTGCGGGTCCTCCTCGTCGAGCACGACGACTCCACGCGCCAGGTCGTCACCGCGCTCCTCCGCAAGTGCGGCTACCGCGGTGAGTCGCCTCTTCTCCTCCCTGCTCCACAGCCCGCGGTCGTTAATCCCCCCGGAAAGGAAATTCTCGGCGCTCCGTTGTTCTGACTCCTCTCCCTCCCTCCGGGAGACGGACGGCAGTGGCCGCGGTCGCGGACGGGATGAAGGCGTGGGGGGTCATGCGGGAGCGCGCCTACGCCTTCGACCTCGTCCTCACCGAGGTCGCCATGCCCTCGCTCTCCGGCATCCAGCTGCTCTCCAGGATCGTCGCCGCCGACGAGTGCAAGAACATCCCTGTCATCAGTAAGCCTCCTCCTCCCCCCCCTCCGTTTTTTTTTCCTACTCGCTGCTCGATCGAAGCCAGATTCATATTTTATTTCCTTTCCCCCGCAATGCTTCGTGTGTGCTCACGACGTGCCTCGATTTCTTCTCTCCTTCTGGATCAAATCGACCCTGGGAATGGATTAGGCTCCACTAGTAGCCAAGCGGTAACTTCAAGCAAGGGACTGGTGATGCCGGATATACTGTATAATTTTATGCTCACTGCTCAGCTCCGCCTGGATTTTTATATTATTATGCTCTGCACATGCTTGTTACTAAAACCGGGATGCTTGTTTCGTATGAGCAGCTTTAAGGTTTGCTGTGTCATCATTGTTAGATTAGATTCCCCTCTGTGATCTTCCCCCCTTGTGCTGTAAGCCAAGTGTTGCGTACATACCATTCAAGGATTAACATGGCATTAGAGTGCTTGGAATATGGGAGTGGAAGTAGTTTGTTCGCAGAGTTTCTGTGGTCACTGCTGTTCTGTTCTGCAGAATTTGATTCCAAGTATGTGATTGGAGCCAAATTATCATTTTATAAGATTTTTGAGTGGTACATATATACACTTCTTTGACAGGCACAGGCTAAACTCTATAATCAATCACATATCTTGGCTGGGAAATTATCCACTTCATCGGGTGCTTGCCAATTTGAATTCACATATCCATGGCATTAGCTCAACAAAAAATGAGGCGGCGGTAGTCCTGGAAATCAAATTAGAAAATATTGAATTGCAGTGCTCTAGGTAGCCGTTGGAACCAAGATAGCTGCAGCATTACATCAAGGAAATCAAATTAGAAAATATTGAATTGCAGTGCTCTACGTAGCCGTTGGAACCAAGATAGCCATAGCATTACATCAATTCAAGTGCTTATTTTAATGGTACTGGATCTATGCTAAATATAGGGGATGTTTACATTGAGTGCGCAAAAAGACAAGAAAGACCTTACCAAATATGAACAGCACTTTCGTCAAAGAACAAAAGATGAGCTGGGCAACATGTGATTGATGTGTTTATGTCAATTCAACCGTTATTGTAGCTCATATTTTCCTAATCAACTAAACTAATGTTACGACAACCACTTGATCAGCTGATCGGCCTAGTATAGTGATGTGCTTATATCTGACATAATGTCATACGAGCATCACAAGCGGTCTTGAATTAAGAGAATTGATGAATCTAATATTTAGATTTGTTATGGGTTTCATCGGTTTTGCACTTGTTGCCTGTGGCAGTGATGTCGTCCCAAGATTCTATTGGCACAGTGCTCAAGTGCATGCAGAAGGGTGCAGTGGACTTCCTTGTGAAACCAGTGAGAAGGAACGAGCTGCGTAACTTATGGCAACATGTGTGGAGGCGTCATGCAGTAAGTTCTTTTTCTGCAGGTCTTTAAGAACATGCTTCCTTTTGCCATGGCATATTGGTGCATGCCGCAAAATGTAGCCTTATCCAAATGCTTTGTTTAATTTTATTTGTCAACCTATCTGGATTTAGTTTGGCTGTCTTTTTTCTTGGAACTTTATGAACTATATATAAGTAGTTATCTGAGATCCTTGGTGAAATACTGGAGAATGGTCATGTAGCCAATTTAGCTTTTATCATCTATCTGTTATATACTGTTAATTTATAGTTTTTCTTTGGGATACTTAGGCATTAAGAATTGAATGCAGATGAATTGCCAGACAAATGGATCAGAAAATAATGCAGCCAGCAATCATATAAGTGCCAATGTTGCTAATGGGTCAAAGACAGGAGAAAACAGCGATGAGGAAAGTGATGCCCAAGTAAGTATCTAACCTTGCTTACACCTTATCTGTTCAACTGGCATTAATGCATGTGTTCAGTTGCATATTTGCATTCCTGCTTAGCTTGACAACGCCAGTTTAATAGAAAGTAGTAAAGTTTGACAGTATAACATTTAGAGACATGTCCTTTTCTATGATGGTTTTTTTCTTGACTTTACGTAGTGACTGTAACTGGCACTGTTTAATGGAATCAATTAGAGTTCATCATTTCATCCTTTATGCAGTTCTGATATATCCTTGACATTCATATTGGATTTCCTTGCCATGTTACATTATTATAGACTGTTTTGTCTTGATCAGAACTTTGGTAGCAAGACGCAGGCTGAAATTCAGAGTGTTGAGAAGTTACCAGAGATTCGTAGAGATGAAGTGGCTGGTTCATCCAAAAAAATTGAACCACAAAGTAAGTCTTATGATGATGGGGTAAACACAAAAGTGGATGCGTCAAAAGATAGCGATGGTAAGGAATTCAGACCTGGTTACATAATTTTATGTTAACTTGTGCTCTATTATTAGTGAGTTAGTGTGCACCACTCTATTTTGCCTTAATGGTATTTTGTCATTTCATCGCATGTAGGTGCTCCAAGTGGAAGTGAGAAGAATGTGCGTCCCAAATGCCTTAATGGTATTACTTCTGCAAAAGTGGCTGAGCAAATTATGGATAATGCCTTGGCAAAGATACAAGTTCACGTCGTCCAAGCAAATTATGCCTTGAGGATCACGGATACAAGTTCACGTCGTCCAAGCAATCTTGGCAAAGATTTGGGTATGACTGAGCCAGCAGCTGACAGAAAATGCCAATCTTCAGTCATGGAAAATAATGCTGTCACGAAGGGTGCTGCAATAGGTCATGCTGATTCTTCCCCCTCCCAATTTCTGGAGACCAACTTGGGAAAGCAACACCATCTTAATGGTTACAAAAAACAAGAATTCAGGGAAAAAGATATCTTTAATCACTCGAATTCCTCTGCCTTTTCAAGGTACTTTGTGCTGATGGGTTCTAAACTTTAGTCTAAATAAATTCTGATTGCCTATCTAGTCCTTGAATGTGGCTGGAAATTATCTGTTAATGCATGGCTTTCTGTCCATGCCCATTTGTTTGTTTATGAGGTTACATGTTTTAGTACTCATATAGACCCATTAGTTGATGTTAGTAACTCCTCAAATGTGTTGCATAACTCTGACTAGCTTTATTGTACTTGTCCATCGCTTCAACATGACACAGATATGGCAATAAAAGGATAGAACCATCAGGCGAGGTACAGTTTTTTCCTTCTCTCTGCACCACTGGGCAAGAGCATGTTCATGGCAAGGACCCAGTTTTCCAACCCAATGGGGTGTTGCTGCCTCCCAATGAACATAATACAGGTGAGAGTACAAGGCAAGCTCGAATTACTTTGGACAGTAGCACGGAGGGTGCTGCCATCATGTGTTCCAGCAGTGCTAGGGAAGATGCTGGTGCAAGTAGGTCTTCCCATAGAAAGGACAGTATGAGCCATCCCTCATATGGGTTTATACCTGTTCCAATTCCTGTCGGTCCTGCGATGCCCTACCATTATGGTGCAATTCTGCATCCAGTATACTACCCACAGGGTCCTCTTATGCACTGTGATTCAGCTGGAATCAACACGGCAGCAATCCAGCACGCCTCTGGTCAATCTAATTACCAAGAAGCTCCTGGTAAACCATCTCAGGTTGGTGAGCACAAACAGTCAGAGGAAAACCACCAGTTGCATCATTCAATACAAATTCTTCGTGAATCAGGAGAACCAATTGACATGGCGAGAGCTCACATGGATCATGCTAACCAGAGTGCAAGCTGCAGCCCAGATATCTGTAAAGGAAGTGGATGCACGGGTAGTGGTGAAGCCGATATCAATGCACATACAATGGTTGCCCTAGAGAGTGGCAACGAAAGTGGCATCCAAAACAGTGATTGGACTCACCGTGAAGCTGCGTTGATGAAGTTTCGCATGAAAAGGAAAGATAGATGCTTCGAGAAAAAGGTATTTCATTTGATAACCCTTTTAGTCATTAAATAACTACCGAATTGTTTCTTTATCTAACTCAACCTTTCGTATTTCATTTCTACAGGTTAGATATCATAGCAGGAAGAAGCTTGCAGAGCAAAGGCCAAGAGTTAAGGGACAATTTGTAAGCCAAAAGCTGAAATCAGCTACAACAGCAGAAGCAGAAACTGACTCGTGACAGGCGTTAATTTGTAACTGTATTTTTGATTCTTCCCTTCCCACCAGGTGTGGGCAATTGGACTGGTAACACTGAAGGCTGGCAAAAAAATTTCCCTTCCATGGTTAGCCTTTCTGTACAAGGGCGAACTCTTTAGTCTTTATGTATAGTGTTTGTTGGCGTTCAAGCCTTATTTTGTAAAGTACATCAAATTGACAAATGTTCAGAGGGTAAACGGGTGGTGGTTAGGAAAACGGTGCAACCACCCGATTTCGTCTATGTACTTAGATGTTTGTGGAGTGAGAAAGCAGAGCCTGTACAGCTTATTCACCCATTTTGTTGCCATTATAATAGTAGTAACTTGTAGTAATTACTACTATGACAACAACAGACACTGGTGTACAACTTAGAACAGCCTTTCCCATTGGGACCGTGCCATATCATTTTTTGGTTAATCTTGTGAGTAATCTCCTCGATAAAGTGCCCACCTGTATGCAGGACAGCTGAGATTTGTTTGATCCAATCCAATCATCCAGCATTTTTTTTTGATAAGTCGACGGGGAGGGAGAGGATCTCCCACCTGATTTTCATATTGATTGAGTGGCTCCAAAAGCCGAATGTTCAAAGTACAAGGTTTTCAAGTTGCCCAATACTGGTTTACATTGCGTTAACTAAAATAGAGCACCAAACATCAGCGATCATCATCCAGCATTTTGCTTGCCTGGAAACTGAACCAGGAACCAGCAGGAATGCAGGAAGCACACCTTGTCTTTGTACTAGTACACAGCAGCAATTCAGCATATATCCTTTGCCTGTCTTGTACTCTGGATAGCATCAACGAATCATCATTCACTGGAAATCTTTTGACCTATTTCCTTAATACTTTCTGTGGCCTATCATTTCACCCAACTGGAGATGCACATGAAGGCTAAGCCTAAGCTGCGGATTTGTTGGGATTAATCTGCGCCGTAAGAGGAATCGGCAATTCCTTGCTGCCGATTTCAAGAGCATCTCCCTTTACAGCCAGCATTTCTCATCTCACTCAGCCCACGTAATATTCCGTTGGAGCTTGCGCCTCAAGTTTGGCACATTTCTTTGCCGCGCTGGGCCTCCAGCCTCCAGCCTCCGTCTTATAAACCCAGAGGTCCACCAGCTCCTGCGGAATCTCACCTGTGAAAGCGAGCACACGCAACGCACCTACGCGAGCAAGCAAGCAAGCGCATCAGTGTCCTCTCCTGCGTTTCTGTCTGTCGATCGAGCTACCTAGGCGGCGGCAAGCCGGCAATGGAGGGAAGAAGGGCGGCCGCCGTGTCGTCGTTGGTGGCGGTGGTGTCGCTGCTGCTGGTGTGCTTGTGCTCCTTACTCCCGGCCGTCGTCGTCGCCGGTGACGAGGGCGAGCCGGCGGTGGGGAGCCCGGACACGAACCAGCTGTGCGTGAGCAAGTGCGGGACGTGCCCGACGATCTGCACGGCGTCGCCGCCGACGATCCTGCCGATGACCGCGCCCCCACCGCCGGCCCTGGCGCTGCTGCCGCTGTCCGCGCCCCCGCCGTCGCCGTACCTCGAGCTGGTGCTGCCGCCGCCGCCGCCGGGGGACGTCAACGACCTGCTGCCCCCGGTCACGCCACTAACGAGCCCGCCGGCGCCGGAGTCCCCGTGCTCGACCCCGCCTTCGTCCTCGTCCTCGTCCTCGTCGTCGGAGCCTCCGCCGTCACCACCCGCCGCCGCCACCGAAGAGCAGCAGCGGCGACGGTGGCAGCGGCTCCTCCTCCTCCTCGTCCTCGTCTTCCCCGTCTGCGCCCTCGCACTTCTCGTCGCCGCCGTCCCCGCCGTCGTCGTCCAACCCGTACTACTACCTGTACCTCTCCGGCGGCGCCAAGGCCCGCGGCGGCTCGTCCAGCGCTTGCGCGGCGCTCGTCCTCGCCGCGTTCCTGCCCGTCGTCGCCCTTTTCAAGTGACGCACGCCCATCAGTCGGCTGTCCAGACCGGCGAACATGCATTACGTACGCGCTTCGTTTTGGCATCCGATTCGATGATGATCTGTCGACCTTTCCGGTGCCAGATGATGGATCCATGCAGATAGTAGCTGTGTTTACAATTTGTTGATTGTATTAACTAACGTTAATTGCTGTACGTACGTACCTTAATGATTTTGTAAAGTGAATTCTAATGATGGTCTAGTGTGTTCTACCTTTGGCTTTGGCTTCGACGTTGCATGCTGTGATCGATGGCTTCATGCTCAGTGCTTTGTGAGGAAACTATTACAATCTTTTTCTTGTTTGTCTCACCAGACACAAAAGGTGTGTCTTACACACTTAAACTAAGGTTGCACGTACTATACATTTCTCCACGCAATCACCCTGCTCTCCTCCTTTTGTGTCTGGCAGCTCTCACCATCGGATCCATGCATGGCCTATGTGCCATCACCATATTAACACATCTTTATGGAGCAATTTTTAAGTCATCCCTACCACGCTCTGACGGTGCTTTGCCGCCCTACCAACCTCCGAACGTTGCTGTTGGGCAAGCCGACATCCTTGGCTCCAGTGGCGGATCCAAAATTGAAAACCTGTACGGCCAAAGCTCATTGATTTTAGATCAATTAACGTCATGAATACATAAAACTGCAAATTTTGTAAGGGGATTTGGCAAAAGTTGTGGAGCGAGGTGGCCCCACAGCCAAAGCCTAGATCCGCCACTGCTTGGCTCTACCTGAACCCTGGAGCTCATTCCTTTTCTTCCATTGTGCAACCATGATACTTTTTCTATATGTTGGCACTACTGTTAAAGCCAAAAAATTTAAGGTTGCATTAATTCAACATATATGTGTCCAAAGAGGAAGCTCATATTACTATCACCTTGTACTCTCCAATAGAGGTGGAGCCAGAAATGTGATTTTTTTTTCTTTATTAGGGGTGCCAAACCGCCAACAATACGATTTTTGTAAATATTTAATAGAATTTAAAATTTTGGTGGAAATTATATTAACTTAGGGCAGTTTAACCCCCTTGGCTCCCGCTCTCCAATCAACACTAGCTTTTATGGAACTCCAATTCAATGCATACAAAGGTGCGTGCATGATTTGCATCAAAGTGTCATGCACAACAATGGTAGTATAGCCCCATCTCATTGGTGTAAGTTATTTGGGAGGTTCTATTCATCAGATGCCTAAATTTTGCCTTTTTTATTTAGGCAATGTTTTTCCACCACATGATCAAGATATGACATTCACTATTGTCTCTTTCTCCACAGCAATAATGCATAGCTTATTTTCTCACTTCGTCTCACATCCACATTTGTTCTTGCCTTCCTCTCATCCTTAGAGGCTATTGGAGCACCCCCTCTCCTGCCACACTATCCACTCCATTTCAAGTTACCTTCGCCTATTCAGAAACCATCCTCCGCCATCCAGACCAGGCCTGCTGCCTCCCTTGCTCGCCGCTTCCTTTCTACATAGACACAGAAAAACCTCAAATCGTGACCGCACACCGTCACACGTTACTAGGCCATGTTTGGTTGCTGTCTGGTAGACTAAGCAACAAATTCTAGTCACCAACAGGCACCCCAAATCAATGGTCTTGATTGCTTCCTGGTCAGACAAGTTTGCCTGCGCAAGAAACCAAACAAGCCTCTAATCACATCGGAGACCATCACACAGTGCAATGGCATGCCTGAAATCTAGGAGGCATGGTGACCAAACTTCAGCCTAGTTGATGAAAGGATAAACGTGTAACACTTCAATACAACCACTTTAGGCCTTGTTTGAATGCACATGTATCCATCTCAATCCATATGTAATATGTATTGAAGTGGATTAGAGTGGAAATTAAATTAAGTTCCATTCCAATCCACTTCAACACATATGGATTGAAGTCCATACACATGCATTCAAATAAGGCCTTAAGCTGCTCTCGGAAAGTCGGAATTGAATGTTGTGTTCTATGACCATGGTGATCAACTTCAACCTAGTTGAAAGGATAAAATATAATTGACAAGCTTAGCAAGAACACTTTTCTGGCCAGCAGCAATTAGCATTTAGCAGTCCTATTTTTGGGAAGCTCGATTTAGCAATTTCCTGGCCGATTAGCTCATTGACATGTGGGCCCTTCTCATGACAATTGAGCACGAGAAGGGGAAAAAAACCCCCGAAACGAAGCAAACTCACGAGCTCCCGCCAAATTAACCTCCTTCATCCATCCATATATAAGAACGTCGACGACGCAGAAGAGGACGGAGCGTCGATCCATCTCGATCGATCACCGATCGATTGAGTTGTTCGTCGCATGCACTTCCTCGACGCGACGAACTATATCTAGGCAGGGCTCCAACCGGCGTGCATCATGCTGCGGTCCACCGGCGACCGCGTCGTCATCGTGGGCGGCGGCATCGCCGGCGCCCTCCTCGCCAAGACGCTCCAGAACCACGCCGACGTCGTCCTCATCGACCCGTGAGTTTAATTTCGCCGTTTGGATGCACGTTTTAACTTTCAGCGCGCATGTCGGATGATCCATAATGCTCTTAATATGCATGGCCGGTGACGCGCGATCCATGGATCCATCCGTGCTGCATGCAGGAAGGAGTACTTCGAGATCCCGTGGGCGAACCTGCGCGCCAAGGTGGACCCGGCGGCGGTGGAGCGCACGGTGATCCCGCACTCCGACTACCTGACGCACGCCAAGGTGGTGACCGCGTTCGCCGTCGGCGTGGACGACTCCGTGGTGCTCACCTCCATCGGCCGCGCCGTGGCGTACGACTTCCTGGTTATCGCGACGGGGCGCACGTGCAACCGGCCGCAGAAGCAGTCGGAGCGGCTGGAGATGTTCCAGCACGACAAGGAGCGGATCGACGGAGCCCGGTCGGTGCTGATCGTCGGCGGCGGGCCCATCGGCGTGGAGCTGGCGGCGGAGATCGTGATGAAGAGCCCCGAGAAGCGCGTGACCCTCGTCCACGGCGCGCCGCGGCTGCTCAAGGTGATGGGCGCCCGGGCGTCGGCCAAGGCGCTGGAGTGGCTGCGCTCCAAGAACGTCACCGTGCTGCTGGATCAGACGGTGGACCTGGCGTCGGCGACGCCGGACACCCGGGAGTTCACGACGTCGGCGGGGGAGACGGTGGAGGCCGACGCCCACTTCGTGTGCACGGGCCGGCCCGTGGCGTCCGGGTGGCTCAGGGGGACGCTCCTCGGGGAGCACGTGGACGAGGAAGGTCATATCCGGGTGGACGACCACCTCCGCGTCGGCGGGCTGCGGAACGTGTTCGCCGTCGGCGACATCACGGACGTGCCGGAGGCGAAGCAGGGCCACCTCGCGCAGCGGCAGGCAATGGTGGTGTCCCGGAACCTCCGGCTGCTGGTGAAGGGCGCCACCCGGGAGGAGAAGCTGCACCGGTACAAGCCGTCCCCGAGGACGTCCATGACCGTGACGCTCGGCCACCGCGACGCGCTGGCGGAGCTGCCGTTCATGACGCTCATCGGGCACATCCCCGGCGCTGTCAAGCCACGGGACCACTTCATCACCAGGACGCGCAGGATGATGGGGATCAAGAGCAAACCCTACGGCACGATGCCGCACGTCATGTGAGGGAGGAGATGATCCGATCGACGTCGTCCCCAGCCCAGGTGCAGAGAGATCCTTTCGTCCGAGGAGTGGTGCACCGATCGAGGAGCAGATGGAGATCGACTAGCTAGGCTCTCTGAATTTTGCCACGTTCTAGCTAGAATCGTTTGATCTGGTCGCCCAAGTATGGAAGCATGGTCACATGCTATATGTATGATATGATACAGGTACATTGATGAACAGTACTTTTAAATACTGATCTTAATTATGAGTCGTTTTGATCTTACCTGATCGGCTGGTGTGCGTGGTCTAAGTGACTAGGTCAGAATCCTTTATCATTACCATAAAGGAAATGAAATGGTTCACTACAGGAGCATCGACATATAGATTGTGAACTACGATATGCGTATATAAAAACGAAGGGCCCATGAGAACCAATTTGACCACAATGGTTCCATTTGGCACGGCTCCACTTAATTATTAGAGCTATATTTTTTTTCAGTTTTAGCTCCACGAACAGCTCTATCAATGGAGCTGGAGCTATTTTTGTTAGAGTGTTTGGCAAAACAGCTTCTCATGGTGAAGAAAAAAATGAAATGACTATATTATAATTTTCTTTATATGTTTTTCTTATTTTCTCTTCTTTATTTCTCCTTCTTCCCTAATCCTCATGGGTATCTTCTCCGCGCAGGTGGCCTGGCCTGCCTCGGCAGCGCCCGCGTCCGGTCCTCTTCATTGACAAACGTGAAACACAAATTCAAATGGGGATGAATGAGAAATTCAACTCATCTAACAATTTTGAACTATCAAAATCCGCCACCACCACTAGTTCATTCGAGATCATCCATGGCCCCCTCTTCTAATGCTTTTCTCTTCCCCGTAGCTTGATTGAAGGAGAACAGAAATGTATTATCCCCAAGATCCTTGCACTCAATCCCCCTCACCGGACACTAAATCCATCCCACTACATGTCCGATGTGCTCCGACCACACCCAACGATCAAACAACAACTTCCCCACCGTTTGGGCAAGGGTCTCCCCGGCCTTCTCCTATCGAAAGAGGAAAGAACTATCTCTATCTCGCAACCGACGATGAGACAAACTCGAGTTGCCCAGGACACCCAGGCGCTCCACACTCACCCCACGCGCGCGCGCACACACACGTGCGCGTCCGTACACACGCAAATAAAGATTGGGAGGCTCTCTAGCCTCAGTGTGCGGGAAACACACAGTACCACCGAACGCGGACGTGTGCGTGTACCCTACTTTTTTTTGAAAAAATTCTAGAAAAAAGGCGCGACACCAGAGTTTGAACCCTGGTTGGTGGGTGGGTAGCGTCCAACTGGATAACCCTACCACTGGACCAAAGGCTTCTGATTCGAAAATAAGTTCGAAAATTGTTTCAAACTAGATTCGAAGAAATTTTAAAAATGAATCTTTAAATGGAGTCAAAATGTTTGAAAAACAGCTTGGGAAAAATCATGAAGTCTTTACTTTTAGTTTGGGCGAAATCTCCCTTTTCGAGTTTTCGT